GATACACACTCACACATGTATGCTGACAGCTAGTATCAGACATTGCTGTAATAACATATTCCATTTGGAAAGCTTTACATGTCCTCTGATCCTTACCATTAGGACTGATTTAAAAACCGTGCGTTTTGTTGATATCAAGCTTAAATCACTTTATTCCTTAATTAGCCACATGTGCCTCATGTTGCCTTAATGTGGAGGATGGAATGATTTACAGAAACAGTGCAATATATGATGATTACAGTTGGGGAAGCTACTGAGATAGTCCAGTGGACACAGCTCCAGTTATAATAGTTCAGTGTCACAAGTTGGGCCTCCCAGCAAAAGGTTAACCCAGTTCTTTATCCTTCCAAGGTTGATTTGACATTTGTATGCCTAAATCTTGTCTGTACTATACACCTTATCTGTAGCATGTATTTAATGAAACCTAGACATTATATCTATGGAAATACAAAAATAAGTCCTGCATTCAAACTCCCACTACTCATGGGGAGCAGTATGTACAGGTTTAGATAAATACCCCTCCATAAACAAAGAATAAGTTATACCTAAAATACAAAATATGAGAAACAACTCATAGGGCTTTAAAGAAGCACTATAGGGTCAGCAACACAAACATGTATTCATGACCCTATAGTGTTAAAACCACTATCTAGCCCTCTGGGCCCCCTTTGCCTCCCTAAAGATAGTAAAATATTACTTGTATTCAAGTCTGAAGCTGCTGCCTCTGCCTGTGAACTTCCTCTAACCTCTGACATCAGGGACGTATTTGCCGCGAGGCAAACAAGGCATTTGCCTTTTGTGGCAATATCCAGGAGGTGGCAAAAAACGCCACTCCCAAATGCCCAGGCAAATACTTTGTTTGCCTCGTTTTATGGGAGCCCAAGATCCCCATAGGATTGGCTGAAACTGACAAGGAGGCAGATCAGGGGCAGAGCCAGCACAATTCAAACACAGCCCTGGCCAATCAGCATCTCCTCATAGAGATTCATTGAATCAATGAATCTCTATGAGGAAAGTTCAGTGTCTGCACGCAGAGGGAGGAGATACTAAATGTTTGGATGCATTTTACGCAGCCATGACCCAGGAAGGATCTCTAACAGCCATCTGAGGGGTGGCCAGTGAAGTTATCACAAGGCTGTAATGTAAACACTGCATTTTCTCTGAAAAGACAGTGTTTACAGCAAAAAGCCTGAAGGTAATGATTCTACTCACCAGAACAAATTCAATAAGCTGTGGTTGTTCTGGTGACTATAGTGTCCCTTTAATATGTTACACTTACAGAGTATTCATTTTTACTCTATGAGTATAACATATTAAAGTATGTTTTGACACTTTAGATTACAGTGTTGCACTATATTTGTTTCAATTTTCTCTTCACATACTGGTAAGTCTTATCTGACAACGTTGAAAATCTGGAATCTATATCTTATTGATGAGCCTAAATTTGCATGAATTTTGAGAGCGTGACTTGAAATTTTGAGTGTTTCAAGTGTTTTTATTATATTACTCTATGAGTTGTTTCTCATATTTTGTATTTTAGGTATATCTTATTTTTGTTTATATTGATTGAGGGGAAAAAGGGATCCTTTTGGGACACCTAAACATGGTCGGGTAATTACCACTTCACTTTGACTGCTATTATACTGGTTGTATTTTTTTTAATTTTGTTGAGAGTTTTGTAAATGCCCCTCTCTGTCTAGTTAGAGATTTTTTTTTACCTGAAGCTGAAAGAAGCAAGGTGAATTGTTAATGTAGAACTTACCAAAGAGGTTTGCCTTGATGTGGCAGATGAGTTTACACTTAATTGGCCACTGGAGAGATACTAAAATTTAAATTTGCATATGGATTTGGGATAGTGCACAAGTAAATATTTTTTTTGACTTGTATTGATTGTATCTGTCAGGTTCCTATCCTGACAAACAAAATATTGTTTCATTCATTGTTATATTTCTATATATACCAGTATTCACCACTAGTGGCCTCCCTGGCCACTAGTCTATCCTCAGTTACTTTCACCTGCATTGCATGATCATTTAAATCTGCTATAAGAGGCCACAACCTTCAAAACAAATTGCCTTTAGATTGATGGAAGTTTATGATTCTAAACTACTGTACACCTACCGAAAACTACGCAACTAACCTGGATATTACAAACATTCCTGATATTTGCAACTATCCTGAAATACCCTGTTACAAATATCCAAAACTTGCAGTGCTACCTCCAAATCAAAGAGGCTGATCCAATAAACTTCTAGCTATCCTGTATTACTTAAACCTTTGTATTTTTGTTTAGTTCTGTCTAATTGTATTTTATTTACCTATAACCTATAATTTCAGTTATAGGTTTCCTTCTCTTTATTTACCAGCAATATCACTTCTAAGTTTTCCTGTTACTGAAACACCTGCCTGGGGCACATTGCCTAAACCCTCTATTTCTGTAATCTTTCTCTATACCTACCTATAATTTTGCCTATAGGTTTTTCTTCTACCGTTTGCCTATAATTCCGTTTATAGGTTCTCCTTCTACCTTCTGCCTATAATTCCGTTTATAGGTTCTCCTTCTACCTATACAATGGGACCTCGGTTTACAAACGCCTCGGTTAACATAATTTTTCGGTTTACAAATGAGATTTCATTGAAAATAATGCCTCGGTTTACATTTTTTTTCGTAATACAAAGCAAGTTTTCCGATGATCCATTGCACCTGGGAGGTTTATAGCGCCGCCCCCTACATGCTGGAGCCTGTTGGTAGCACGTGGCGTCGAGTGTGGAGGTGTTGGAGCGTTTTTTTGCATCCAATTTTGGAGCCGGTTCTGGAAATAGTTTGCAGTTGTTTGGGGACTTTTTGGTGCATTTCTCAAGCTGTGGAAAGGTAGGGAGCGGAGCTTCGTCGTTTGCATGCCTTTTACTGTGTGTTCTGCATTGTGGGTTGGTTTCCATGCCAGCTTATATTGCCTTTTTTCTGACCTCCAGAACTGATTAATTGGTTTTCAATGCATTCCTATGGGAAACCGCGTTTTGGTTTACAAACGTCCCGGAGAACGCATTAAATTTGTAAACCGAGGTCCCACTGTAATTCCGTTTATAGGTTCTCCTTCTACCTTCTGCCTATAATCTCACTTATAGGTTTTTGCTGCTACATAATACCTGTCTGGGGCTTATTGCCTAAGTCTTTATTTTATAGCACTTAATATACTTTCCTGTAATTTCGTTTATAGGGTCTACTTTTTCCCTTTTTCTTTATTATTTCCACTTACCTCTAAGTTCTGCTACTTTTATTGTTTCAATACTTACCATGTAAAAACTCTCAGATAAGTTAACCTTGGTAACTTATCTTACCTGACTTGATCAGAACCACGACAGTGGTTGGAGTATGGCTCTTTATGTGATTTTATTGTCTGTCTTGAGCTCTTTTCAATAAAACATCCAATTTCAGAATATAATGGGAGCAAACCGGAAACTTATATGTGCCTTTCCTAACTATGAATGATAAATATGCAATCAAGCAACAGTTGATGAGATATAGTTTGGCCCCTTCTTTACTCTGTCTGGTTCAATGATATTCTTATCACCACTGTGGGTATATTGCGTACACAATAGGCGTCCTCTTATTACTTGGCTGAAATGTTTGTGTGCCTGTCTGTGTATGTCTATCTGTAAATGTGTGTATCTATATCAGTGCATTTCTGTGTTTGAGTGTGTCTTTCTGTTTCAGCGCATGAATATACATGTGTGTGCTTGAGTAGGCCTGCATGTATCTGTTCCTGTGAATGCATGTCTATATGCCTGTTTGTGTTTTTGCATCCATGGCTTTATGTGTGCTTCTGTTAAGGTGTGTGTCTTAGTATGTGAACCTGGGTGAGTCTATAAGTATATAATGGTGTGCCTTTATGTATGTTACCTATGAGAGTGTCTTATGTATGTAACTGTGAGTGTGTTTTAATGTTAATATTCAGAATGTGAAAATGCATATCTTGCAGGTGTTAAGGATTGGGGTGGAGCTTTGTAGCGTGGTCACCAAGTTGTGGGCTCAATCCCTGGGTATATTTTAAACTTAGCAATGACCATGTTGTAACAACAGCTGGAGCAAGCAATGCAGTAACAATCGTAATCTTGGCATATCAAAACAGCACATTTTTATGTTTTAGTAAAGACAAGTTAGGAACATCATGATACATCACAAGACCTGCGTAGGAACAATGAGTTAGTACGGTTATGGCTGTGACTGAAGAGGTTGAAAACAAATGAACAGTAATAAAAGTCTAGATCTGCAGTGTATACTTAGACAAATCTATGAGGCATCTCAGGGTGTGCACTTGACAGTGTAAATGAATGAGTCTGTGTGATAGTGCACTGTGCTCTGGAATGATGTGCATAACATTCCCTCAAACTTCATCTGTAAGAGTAAGTCAAGTGATGTTATTCGTCTAGTAGCGTCTCCCTACTTGGGTTGCAATGTGAGGGTTTTGGTTTATTGCTGTAGCGTAAGCCCTGTCTGTCTCCTAGTGAACATGTGTGAGGTGTGTAGTAGGACTCCGTCCCACTGGAGCGAAGTCGAGTGACAACCCCTTACCTTTGGGGGTGATGGGAGCGGAGGGAATCTAGTCAGACAGTAGTTGTTAAACATTGTGAGTCGTTGTAGGTGCTGAACTGCTGCGCCCTTATACCAAGGAAGGCACAATACTTGGTTCTCCATTAACGTATAAAAGTAAAATTCAACTAATTAAGAAAATAAATTTTATATCATATGGTGAGATAGAAACTGTTAGGCTGATAACCTCAGTGATACTATGTGAGCCATATGGCTCCGTGTGGTGTCTGCTCAGGTTGCCGCTGTTTTATTCGGGTCTCCTCTGGGGGTGAATGAGACAGTTCTCTCATGATCCAATGTGTGAGGTGTGGACATGGAGGGTGTCTTGTGAGAGTCCCAAGGCCTGCAGGAAAGCAGGGGCTTCTGCGAGAGAGGTGAGTTTTAGGACAGTGTCATTCCGTACCACTGCTTAGGTTCTTGGCAGCAGCCATCGGTAGTCCACCTTTGCGTTTTGAAGTTGGGCGGTTATAGGGCTTAGTGACTTTCGCCAGTGTAGTGTGGTGCGCGTGATGTCTTGAAAGAAAGTGAGTCTATATGACTCAAAGTCCAGTGGGATCTGGTTCCTGACTGCATTTAGAAAACGCAGTTTGTCTAGTATGGAGTGAAAGCGCACAATTATATCCTGCGCGGCTGCAGGCAATGCTTGTTTAGGCTTATTGATTCTGAAGTGTTCATCGAATTCCAATTTCTTGGCCTGGGTGTGAGACAACAGTGTAGCAGTTAACCTCCGTAGGAAGTGAGACAGTTCTGTCGGGCCTACAGAATTCCCCGGATTTTGATGTTCACCAGCCGGTTGTGGTCTTCCATAGTATCCAGTCTGAGTTGGAACACAGAGTCAGATGATTGTAGCTGGCATAGGGTATCTGCCATTGTTTTTAGTTCTTGTCGAATATCAGTGATCTCTTCCTCTGAGGCCTGGACTCTTTGGGACACGGCCTTTATCTCCGTCCGAGCTAAGTTCATGTCAGCATCGAACATTTGCTTCATCTCCCTTATCAGCTGACTGATATCCCGTTTTATGGCAGGCGCTAGGTCTTCCCCCTCATCCTGTGGCTACGGAGGTGGCTGAGGTTGGTGGGAGCTTCCCTGCCCTTCTGAAGTCAGGTCAGGGCTGTGGGGACTGGATATCAGGTCTGGGCCGGCTGCCATTTTGTGGCTCTGGGACCTTTGCAATAAAGTCCCTATGTCCCTGGTTTCTTTGGGGGCCCCAGCCTGGGATTTGAGTGGTTTCCTCACCATGTTGTGGATGGTGAGCTGGGGCCTCTCGGGTGTTGATTGTACCTTGTGTGCGAGCTCTGTGTACTGTTCAGGCATCGCGTCAGGATCTCCGCCGGTGAAAGCGTGAGGTAGGCCCGGGTTTTACATTTTTTTACAATTGTATTACTAAGATAATATATATAATAATTTAACAAGAGTGATACAAAACAATCCACACAGGAGAGCACGTTTCAAGTACACCTGTCTCTGAAATGTGACATTCAAATAATAATAGTTAGTCTTGATTTGCATCTCTCTTTGTGTTTATGGTTTTAAGAAAGTGTATGTGCATTGCCTTTATACATACGTATTACCTTTCCTGCAGTAGCATGCCCATGTTCTGTCTCTGAGTGCTGCCATTTTATGTGATCCAGTTTACTCGGCCTTGCCCACCTTGTTGTGTGTCATTGCTATGTGTTCACATTACATTTGGTGTTTATTCATTAGCAATCATATGATCTGATACTGTGGTAATTGAAGCTACACAGAGATTCTAAAACCTACAGGGATCAAGTGATCCGTTTTGGGTTTACTATACATTGCCCTAAATAAGCCATTTATCATTGTCTGGTTAAATGCTGCTTTTTCCTGGTAATCCATAATAATGGTAGGGCTCAGGGATATATATATATATATATATATATATATATATATATATACACATACATATAATCATTTGTATATATACACACTAGATGTTAAAAATGTCTATGAAAAGAAAACTAATCAGTGTCAATCATCAACATTTACAAAATCTATTTCCTATATGTTTGTTATTGTGTTTAAAACATGTGGCTAACAATCCATCCAAACTCCAGTGTAAATGAATTTTTCATGCTAGCCTTTACAGTCAGAGAGAGGAGCAATGCTTCCTGCCTTAGCAATTAGACCCGAATGAAGCTCCAGTTCCCAATAAAAAAGATTGGAGAATAAAAGTTGCTTAAGTTTCAAACCACAAGGTGCCCCATTCAGGATTTTCGTTACAAAGTGAAAAAACACGAAGGAGGGCCCCAATTGTGTTCTAACAATGAACATCCTCTTCTAATGAGAACAAGCAGAATTTTTTTTCCTTTTGAACCAAGAATTTCATACATCAGAATCACTAAAAAGCACAGCTTCTCTCCAACAGTATCTGATAAGGAGAAGTTTCACAATTTGTTTCCTCAGTGCTTTGCCGAATAAGAAAGATAACAGGTTCAGAATCACTAACAACACATTATTCAAAATTGAATCTGGGAGAAGACAACGTCTCTCTTTGGAAAACAATATACAGCTCCGTGTAGACATGTATTCATAAATATTGTATTACTGCCAAAAATAAATGTATTGAAGAGTAGACTCTCTGTGTCCTGGCTAAAGTATACTGCACTATGTTCAATCGACAAAATAAAAAGGCAAGAATTCTGCATAGATCCCCCAAATCAGCTTTAAGTGACACAGAAAAATTAAGGGAAGCTCCAGGATTCTGAAAACACTTTCCAGTATCCACAGGCAGATACTTTAGATATAAAGAGCCACAAGCCAATGGTATATAATTATATATATGTATAAAATGCAAAAAATTGGCAGCACTCAAAGGACTTCAATAAAAGATAAATACTAATACTTATAAAAAAAGAGTTGATGTTTTAGTTCCAACCCCGGGAACTTTCATCAGGACAAATACATAACAATCCTGAATTGTCCTGATGAAAGTTCCGGGGTTGGAACTAAAACATGACTCTTTTTTTATGATGTACTAAATAAAAGTTAAGTATTAGTATATATAGTTTATTGAAGTTACTTGAGTGTTACCAATGTTTTGCATTTTGTATTTTTCATGTGGTTTAGTACCAGGTATCACTATGAACACTAGGCGTGCAAGCTATTTTGTGATATATATTTATATATATATATATATATATATATATATATATATATATAATAAGCCACAAGCTGATATTCTAGATATTTAAGCCACACACTCATGGTATATATATATATATATAAAATGTCACAATAATATGTTCTAGATATGAAGAGCCACACACTGATGGTATATATAGATATATAAAAGCCACAGTATTATGTTCTGGATATGAAGAGCCACACACTCATTGTATATATAGATATATACAAGCCAAAGTCTTATGTTCTATATATGAAGAGCCACACATTGATGGTATATATAGATATATAAAAGCCACAGTATTATGTTCTAGATATGAAGAACCACACACTGATTGTATATATAGATATATAAAAGCCACAGTATTATGTTCTGGATATGAAGAGCCACACACTCATTGTATATATAGATATATAAAAGCCACAGTATTATGTTCTAGATATGAAGAGCCACACACTGATGGTATATATAGATATATAAAAGCCACAGTATTATGTTCTAGATATGAAGAACCACACACTCATTGTATATATAGATATATAAAACGTCACAGTCCTCAAGGTTACAACTAAGTGCTCCACAAAATGATGAGTGAGATCCAACTGAGACATGTTTAGAGGTCTTACATGAGCTATCAAATATCGTCTTGGACTTTTATTAATTCTCTTGATTTTTTGCATTTTTTCTTGTTTCTTCTTTTTGTGTGTCTATATGTATGTATATATATATATATATATATAGTTGTCTCATAGACCTCTGTTAATAGTTACATAAGACTGTATCAGGATTGGAATGTACTTTTATTAATGAACCTATACCTATAGAGTAGTGATTAACCCTTTACTATATCTGCACATTGTGATATTGATCAATCCTGTTTGCATATACGTTGGATATATTTTGCCTATTGTGATAGTGATCAAGCCTGCCTTTATTATAAGCATTGCTTCTTATCATTGTTATGCTTCAGCGTGGAAGAGATTTCGCTAGGTTTTTTAGTTATATCAATTAGTGTGTGTTTTGGTGATGGATAAGTAAGCACAGGAATTGCATGTTAATATTCTATTGCACTTTATTATTGGATAAACAGTACCTAGCTCTTGCATCTAGGAGATAAAGGCATTTGCACCTTATCACTTTTAAAACAACTGGACAATGTTAAAGCATTTGCACTTTATTCTAATTTGCTTTGATCCAGATTGCAACAATCACATTTGACGTCGGCTTGCAGAGCTGTTAGCTACCATAGAGATGGTGCACTTTGTCAGTTTATTTTGATATTTCCTATTTTTTGCACGTTTTTTTCTACATGTATATCTTCATAAGAGACCAATTTTAGCAATACAAGTATTTCAATACAGATATATTTTCTAAGGGACGTTATTGGAGTGCAGTATTACATTTCTTATTTTTGCATACTATTTTAGCACTATATAAATCATAATGATTGTAAATATAAGGAGCCACATGCTGATGGTTTAGATATAAGGAGACACAAACTGATAGTTTACATTTAAAGAACTACAAACCAATGGTCTAGATCAGTGGTTCCAAACTTTTTAGGTTCAAGGCACCCTTAATATTTCAGTATTTATCCAGGCCACCCCAAGTCAAAATTTCTAGGTTGTATATCTGTACAGCGCTGCCGCATTTACTGCATTTACTAATATAGGGGTCTGTTTGTATGTGATGTTTGCGTTTGATTGCAGGGGTGTGTCTGAATGTAATGTTCACTTTTAAATGTGGATGTACATTTGTTTAAAGTATTTGTGTTTGAGTGAAGGGGTGTGTTTGTATATATATATATATATATATATATATATTTTTTTTTGAATGCAGGAGTGTGTTATTTGTATGTAATATTTGTGTTAGATTGCAGGAGTGTGTTTGTATGTTGTTCTGGTGTTTGACTGCTTGGACATATGCACATACACTACCAAATACACACATACATACTTACTTACACAGATATTTATGCATATTAACCCCTTAACGCCGTTGCGCCGTTCTATGCCGTCCCGCATTAAAAGGGCTTTAAAGCCGTTGCGGTGGCATAGAACGCCGTAACGGCTTGCAGCCCCCGGAGGTCCGGTGGACTTACCTCTGCCGCGATCCTCTTCTGGAGGGCTGCCTGACAGCCCAGGCAGTCCTCCCCCGGCAAATGAGGCCCCCGGGGCCATGTGATCGCTCTCAAAGAGCGATCACATGGCCCCCTATAGCTGGCTGTGGATCTGCCAGCAGGGGGAATGTCTAAAATGTCAGACAGTCCCCCTGCTGGTGGGAAAGTAAAAAAAAAAAAAGAATTAAACATGTTTAAAATAAAATAGAAATTTATTTATATATGTAATATATGTATATATCTATTATATATATAATATATAGACATATTATATATATGTAACATTATACAAAGTGTATTTTAATATTACTATAAGTAAATATATTAGTATTAAAATACACTTAGAATGACATTACATATATATAATATGTATATATATTATATATATAATAGATATATACATATATATATATATATATATATATATATATATATATATATATATATATATATACGTATAATTACAATAATAAATAAATAAAATAATAAAATAAATAAATAAAATATTGAAACAAAATTTAATATAAATTATATATTCATATGTAATTTCATTCTAACTGTATTTTGTTATTAATATATATATATATTGATAACAAAATACACTTAGAATGACATTCTATATCTATCTATATATAAAATACAAATAACCGCAAATATATATATATATATATATATATATATATATAGATAAATACATATAATTACATAAAAGATTACATTAGT